TTCGATTATATATTATAATAATTAGTTATGATTAATAAAACTCAATCTCGGAATAAAACGGAATTTTTCAAAATCACAACGGGATTTTTCCGTGTCCTGTTTTCGTTATAATTAACGATGTTTTTTGATTTATATCATTTGTGAAGGTCGAACAGTGAGATTGTGATTAAATGAAGTAGTTGTTGATTCCGATAATAATTTAAAAAAATTAGATCTCGAAATAGTTATTTAAAATAGAAGGATATAAATAGTGAATTAGGTACTGTTATTTGATTCGCCAAAAGGTTTCTTCATAATTTAATAGGTTTTGTCCGACGAATGGCGTAACGAAATTCCTGAAAATAGCTTCGCCAGGTATCATTAGTTAATGCTCATTTATTAGATTTATAATCGAAGGCATTAATTACGTAAGGATCTCGACAATATTTTATGGTTGTGGTAATTTAGTCTACAATAACGAAAACGAAACCTTTCAGCTTGGAGCAAAGTATGTTTCAATATTCCAAACACTGCCTTAAATTATAACTTTTTACGTACACGTAGACCCCTGAAATACAAAATTATGATTTTTAATCCTTTTTTATACGATTATGGTCTCAAGATGAAGCTATAGTCCTGGTTTATATAGGAATTTAGCAAAAGCAGCAAAAATATCGCGTAAACAGTTCAAATACTGCGCCACTGCTGAGATTTATGCCTATATAGTGAAAACGTGCATTTAGAGAAAAATTGCATTTCGGAGTGTAAAATGCTTAATGCTTCACATATTGGAACTAAATCAAAGCGTGCATTTATGGAGAGTGAACATAGTGAGCATTAATGAAGTTGCATTTAGGGAGGTCTGACTGTATATATAATAGCGCGATTTGATTGGCCAGTTTGGTGCGAGACCAGGGGAACATAAATCTGCATGTGCAAAGGTTTCGCTTATTAATGTAAGATAATCAAACGAGACACGTGTGCATACTCTACCCGAAATTTCACGAAAACAATGCGATTTGCACGTCTTCACTGTGATTATTATTCAAGAACCTCAAAAAACTTGTTCACATGTATTGAATTCCGTTAGTCTAACGAAATTCGCCATTTTGCACGTTACATGAGTGCTTATGAGCTTGAGCTCTCCGGTAAGGTGTCTTTGGGTGAAGCGGCATCGGTCTCATCGTTCCCTATGAGTGTCTTGGAAGAATTTTAGGATAAAATAATAAGTGAAAAAAGTTGGAAAAAGCTCGATTCTAAAGGTTTATAAGCTTATCAGGTAAAAGGTTTCTTGTAACGAACATCGATATGTGACGGGATTGTGCCAATCATATCTTTGACACGTATTAAAATTGATCTTGAAAAAAATCTGCGAAAAAATTTTTATAATACAATGAAAAAATACGCCACGCTATTAACCAAATGCTATTTGAAGACGTATTTTTTTATAGTCATATTATTAAATAAAAAATCCTTTACGCTTCAAAATTATTGGATGACTTTTAAATGATTTACGCTATCACCATAGCAAAGAATTTTATTGTTATAAAATCCAAAGGATAAAATAAATATAGTATATTGGTATACTTGTCAGTTTTTTGAATTAAACAATACAAGAGCTAGTTGAATGAATGATCATACTTATTGATGAAGCCAAATAGCATGCATGCAGAAAATCAACTGAATCAATTTTAAAACCTAACGCTAATGATGCGAAGATTAATATTGTCGAAAATCTTTTATGCAGTGGCGGTCACAAGTATCTGCGCCCTGAAAACACCCCTCAAAAATTTCCGAAATTCAAGAGTGATACTAACTTTGATAATCTGTATACCGTAAGGTCCCGAAAATAAGCAACCCCCTCTGATTTTGTTCAAAAGTATTGGGATTAAGAAAAATTTGGTCCCAAATCGATGACGTGGGGGTTGCTTATTTTCGGGACTTTACAGTAATTGTTGGTACAACATATAAAACAGGAGTTGGATGATCGATTAACTTTACGATATGATTTTTCTTCACGAACATTCACAAGGACCGCTATAGAGCTATGAAAAAATAGCAATCTATATTTGGTTGTTCTAAGAATACTGCAAAAAATTGGATTCAAAATATTCAAGATGGAGAATTTCAAAGGATCTGAGTGATCAAAAAAATTTCGGGTCCGCGGCGCAGAATAATGGCAAAGATGGGAAATAGCATAACAAAACGGAATATGGAAAAACGGGATGCTGACATTAGCGCGAGGACTATTAGACGACGTCTTCGTGAAGCTGGGGGGGGGAATATACTAACGAAATTACAAAACCTCTTCTTACGGAGAACCACTGGAAAAAACGGCTGCAATGGGCGAAGAGATATCAAAATTTTGATTGGAACCAGGTTCAAAAAAAAGTTTTGCAGTTTGTCGAGAGAAAAAAGTATTTCGTACTGTTAAGCATCTACAAAAGGTCTATGTATGGGGATGTTTTTCAGTTTCGGAGTTCGGTGAGCTGGTGTGCTTTCAACGGAACTTAACGTCAATTTTATGTGTGAATCTACAAGAAGGTCTTCTGCCTTCCATTTCCGAGATTTTTTGGCGAGGGTAACTTAGACTAGTTCTTACAAGAAGATAACGATCCCAAGCATCGTTCAAGGATTGCGAAAAATTGGAAGGCGGAAAAAGGTATCAAGGAACTCCCATAAAGAACATGTGGCACGTTGTGAAATTAAACCTTAAAAAAATTCATGCAATTATACAATTAATGGATTAAAGAGGAAACTGTGGAACCGTAGTATGAAACGCCGTATAACAGCAGCACTAATAGAAGAATGGCGACTATACTATGTACTAAAAAATCAGGGTTACTTTTGTCAGTTTAATAAAAATAGAATTGCGAGTTTCTTTATTTTTGGAAGAATTGGGGAAAGGGGTGCAGTTATTTATGACCGCTACTGTACCAACCAATATTCATCAAATACAAACAATACAAACGTAATTGTTGCAGTTAAAACATAGGATACATTTCGAGAAATAGAGATGGAACTGTTAATAGTCTCGAACAGATTATACAAATGAATTTTAATTAATTGAATTTGGTAAACAATAAATTATTCTTTGAAATTGATTTCCAAAAGTCTATATATGGTAATATAACCACTTAGTTGGTGCGAAAATTGGAATCACGCGTATAAAGCTAATGTTATAGAATTAGGTCAACCACGACGTTATACGCTAGTAAATGGACTCGTGTCAAAAGGAGGGAACTTCTAGTGGGTCATCCGTGGTGATGATTTTGTACCAAAGACCACGCACTTTTACGATAATTTTGTGTATGACCTGGCTGTATAACGATCTGATTAACACATCCAATTTAGGAAAGCAAAATGTAACAAAATAATTGGTGCATAATGCGCCAGAACAATAACGATAAATGGTTTATTGGTTATTGAAATCAGATACCAAGAGATTTTCTGCATTGTGCTCGTCTTCATTCTGAAACAAAGAATCCCATGGAATCTCATTTATTAAATTAATATTAGACTACAATACTTGTATTACTATTGTATTTATATTATATGCGTACACGCGAGATTTAAATTACGTGAAATTAACAATACAGTAGTAGAGTCTTTCAGTTCCATAATTATTGATATGTGCTCATTTTAAATCCTAAAATCTCTTAGTATTGGTAAATTTCGACCTATTGAAAACTTGCTCACATAAAATCACCCCACATCTGAGTTGATAGGGAACAAAGCTTTCAATTTCAATTAGCGTTAATTCATAATCGATATGTGTAAATGTTGACCCTGATTAACAATCCGAATTAGTACCTCGTGTGCATGTATGAAAACATGACATTATTATCTAATGCAACAACAGCCACATAAAATCGAAAGAAAAATTAATTATCCAAAAATATCCAGTCAATAAATCATGAATTTGACTTGTTAAACCATATCCATGCATTTGCACTAACGCATTTCTGTTTTGTATTTCCTTTACAAAGTTTTAAAACACGGAAACAGCAACATACCAAGTAAGAACCTTTCGAGTTTCCATAACTCAATTTATTCTTTTTTGACGATTTGTTTGTTTAATCGCAAACGCCTCTACTTTCACATATTAATCCTAACAGCCATGTCTCTATTTTCAATTTTATTTGCTCCTGGCATTTTCTCTTCTTCGTCGGAATCACGCTTAATCTTTTCGTTTGATTATTATCAATAAAATCATCGTCGATTGATTCTTTTTTCTAAGTTTCATTTCTTTTATTTGTTGATGCATACGGACGTTCCTGTCCCATCCTTGAATTTCAAAGTATCAAGATGGTATTTATTAAGAGAACTCAAATCATGTACCAGTTTATGCTCTATATATTAACAGATGAGATCAAGTTTACTAGCCATATTGGGAACAGATTGTTAACATCGTTCATCACACCAATTGTTTGTACGTGTATTCGTCAAGTCGGTATAACATTTAACAGCTGTTGTCCGATTGCCATTAATTATATAAGTAGAAAAAAAAGGAAATTTACGTCTTAAAGAATACAGAATTTTGTTTTCATGTTTCATCATTAATTACACGTTTTTGTGTTCCGAACAAATACATGTATGTATTGAAAGAAAAAACATGACTTGAAATTATCATGTATTAGTTGTTTGTTTGTTAAATTAACGAACGTAGTTCTAGAAATTAATTAAGCGTTAATATTAAACAGCGATAGACACTCATTTATGCATCAATAATAAAATAAGCTCAATTCAAAACCTAACGCACAAGTAATTGCTCAAAAATGATTTTTATTCCAAATTAAAAAATTTTCACAAAATAGGTTAGATGCTTTGTCTAAAGCCAAATTCAGTGTCGGCTAAGGTTTGACAATTTTTTTTGAGTTTCAGGTTTATATTTGGTTTCAGCTCAAAATAAATTTCAGCATCATTAACGTGAAAATTCGCTATATTTGTGCATCGACATTAATGTGGGTATAGACGTACATGTACAGTACATATGTGTACAAAGATTCATAGATTTTGGTATGACAGCGTCTGAAACTAAGGAGATGAGGAGACATTTAGCGCTAGAGCATGTACAGACTAGTGCATCACTCAATTTTTTTGTAAATTACGACTTAAAAATAGTAAAATTTCCAAAAACTTTCCCTAAACTTTAAATATACATGTATATCCCAGCATAGTCAAAAACAATGATTGGTTAAAACAGAAATGCATCTTTGTTTCGATGCGTAGGCTGAGATGGTCTTGACAAACAAATTAAGAACAATCAATTAATTTTCTAAACTCACAAATAAAGGAATAAATCAAATGCGGTGTATTATCTCAATAAACGTCTTTGTTACAAGATGGTCCCTCCTTTTTTTTTCCTTACGAGCGTATATAAATTAATTCGTTCGTCGATGTAAAAAAATTTTATCTTTTGTTCCTCTGCATTTTTTTTGGATAATTTTTTTATAATTTGTAATTATAATTTTCGCGGTGCGAAAATAAAAAGATCATTCAATGAAAATGAAGATGAAATTTATTTCATCGGCATTTATTGTTGGTTTGGTTGCTCTGTCAGTGACAGCGCATCCAATCAAAGAAACTCCATGTAGTACTTCAACGTCAGAAGTATCGATTTCTTCGAAACCAGAAGTATCTATATCAAAAGAATCTACAGTACCCAATAATCCATCAAGAGGAGTGGATGCAACTGCAATTACCAGACCAAATAATCCAGAAACATCTACAACTCCAGAATCAAAAGGGTCGGAAACAACTACATGTACAAATTCAAAATCAGAAACACCAACTGGAGAATCACAAGCAACTGCAACTACCAAATCAAGTAATCCAAAAGCATCGACAACAGGAGAATCAAACGGATCAGGAGAAACTACAACTCCAGAACCAACGCCGGAAATAACTCCAAGTCCAAACTCAAAAGAATCAACAACAAATAATCCGGAAGTACCTACACCTCCAGCTCCACCGAAGGTATCAACAACTGGAGAATCCAAAGCATCAGAAATAACTACAGGTAAGACGACTGGATCAGGAGAGACTACAGTTACCACAATTAAATCAGGTAAGCCAAATGGACCAGAAGAGACTACAGTTACCACAATTGAATCAGGTAAGTCGACTGGATCAGGAGAAACTACAGTTACCAGAACAAATAATCCGGAAGTGCCTGCGTCTCCTACACCTCCATCACCTCCATCACCACCTTCACCGCCTTCACCTCCAGCTCCAAATAATCCGGAAGTTTCTACAACTGTAATTACAATAACAAAGACTCTTGGATCAGGAGAAACTACAGTTCAGACAATTACTAGTACAATTAAGGCGTCGACAACTGGATCAGGAGGAACTACAGTAACTACGACAAATAATCCGGAAGTGCCTGCGTCTCCTACACCTCCATCACCACCTTCACCGCCTTCACCTCCAGCTCCAAATCATCCGGAAGTGTCTACAACTGTAATTACAATAACGAAGACTCTTGGATCAGGAGAAACTACGGTTCAGACAATCACTAGTACAATTAAGGCGTCGACAACTGGATCAGGAGGAACTACAGTAACTACGACAAATAATCCGGAAGTGCCTGC